AATTTGAAAGTCATCCAAGGAGAAGCCAACAGGTGGGAGGCATTGACATGGAGTGAAGCAGAATGGGGAATAGTTGGCCGGCCATCTATTTTTGATTCCATCTTTTCTCCAATTGATAAACAGGCTGACATTGTGAGTCAGTTGAAGTTGGATGATGATATTGATGACAACCCAGATATATCTATCTGATATTTGATTTTAATTTTATTTATTGTTTCTTGCTACTATGTGTGTCAAAAGGTTGTTTACTTCCTTAAATATGGTGAATTATCAACGATCCACATGAGAATTTCTTTAATTCACTATGTGAAATGATATTGAAATAGAGGGGATAGTGGGTGAATCACCGCAGTCTTCCAGTGGATCAAATTCGTCTATGGACAATCAGATTAAGGACTCAATCTGGGGAAGATGATGATGATATTTACCATCGTCCAGGTAATTCTATATCTATTTATATTTTTATATATGTCGTTATTTCAATGTGAAAGTCATGACCTCTTTCTCTTCCTTTAGTGAGTGGAATTTATATCTATAGCATAACGGCTTCCCTTGATTCCTTTGGCCCTGGTAAAATCTACAACGTTACAGCCTTCTAGTTTGGGGGTGTTCATGGATCGAAACCAAATTGTTCAAGGTATATATGCATGCACTATATTCCACATATCTCTGTTTATTTACAAGACTATGCAAAAAATTGTGCGCATTTGTAACCTTGACTTTATTTCAATTATCTCTAAAATCACTTATAGGATAAGTGACACTAGCACACAAGCCTCCCATGTACCAGAGCCGATTTTAATTTACAGCGTAAACCAGAAAGGCAAGTCGGCATCCAATTCAGATCTCGAGTCATTTTCTACTATGGAACGTTGTATCAAACCTTAAGCGAATGAAACATATGACTACGGTGCAGAAACAACTTGAACTGGCTTTTTCTAGTCATCCAGGAATTTACAATTCCACATCTAACCTATCCGACGACTCTCTTCTTGAGCAGATTGTATTGCCAGGCACTAAAGATTTGTTTGAAATGAGACACCCATATCATCCTCTATGTATTTTTTAATTCTCATTAGGTCACACTTGTTATGTATGATGCTCGTTTGAAAAATCAATATTTTGTAAACGTTGCAAAATTGCTTGGCTACTCTCTTGGATGATCTCTCCTTTCGTTTTCAATGAAAGTTTGATGGGGATTGAGGACCATATGAGCATGAGAATCTGTTCATTCCCTCGTTCACTAAAGCAACAACACGAAGTAGCACAGATTTGCCAAATGCCTATGGCAGAAGGAAAATGCGAGAAATTTGCAAGGGGTTAAGAGCAGTCTCTGTACCATCCACAGCAGCTTGATGCAAGACTATTAACAACAACTATTTATTGTGAGGGTCAGTGTTCGAGTCCCATTGCCATGGTTCTATTTTCAAACATTCTACAAGTCAGCAACTTATAACTGAAGAGCTCTTGGTTCCACTCTCATTGAAACTGATCACTATCTCATTTTATTAGCTTCTTGACTGCTAAGAGGCCAAAGGAAGATAGAAATGTACGTTGCAGATGCGGGCGGGGTCCATTGTAGCGACCTCAAAAGTTGAAGGTTCATTCTAGGAATCAGGGACATGTCGCGCTTCAATTTGCGTATAAGTTTTGGGCTGCTTTTTCAATAACCTTTCAAGTACAGATTAAAGTTGTGTTGTCGATTGTTAGGCTTCTTGCTTGTGGGTTTTCATAATCGTAAAGGTTCCTAGATCGCTGTCACAAACAGCATAATATTATGCTATAGATGCCTTTCTGTCCTTTAAATTATTAGTATATTGAAAGTTTAACATTACGTCTATATTGGTTCTAGTTTCTATTTTGCTTATTCGGTTGATGCGAGCTCGAAAATTTTTAAGACAGGCGCAATTTATCCAAAATAAAGGTTAAATCAATTATACATATATAAATATATTATACATCAGCTATAATTTTTTAAATAAAATTCTCATTATTACACATAGTTTGAAAAATAAGCCGCATTATTTTACGGTTCATCACAATGCAATTTGTTGAATTCTTTCATGATTATATATTTATATATAAGGTTTTCATCAAACTGTCTGTGTATATTATTACCCCTCTGGTATTAAATATAAGATTAAATGTATTTAGGATTAGATGTAGTGTTAAAAAAATAAATTACTATTTGTAGGGAACTAGCCCCTTAGATCTTGATAAAATAAATTACTGTTAAATAATAAGGACAATAATCTCTACTGAATTATTTTGTTTTACCAGCCCATGCCCCATGAATTGAACCAAAATATTAAAATTCGGAAAAGACTATTACATCATACATGACCGGAGCCCATCTAAGAATCAAATATATCCATCCGCATCTCTCGTCCCCGGGGCCTGAATCTACGACTATATATAAATTGGTAATATTTTCCTTCTCGCCAATATGTGTATTGATATTTACCTTTTTGGACCAACATAAATTGATGATTTATCTCATAATTACTACTCCTTCGGTCCTTAATATAAGACTTATTTAACAAATTTGATTAGATTAAAAAAGTTAAGTAAGTTAGTTAATTATAAAAAAAAGTGACACGTTTTTTCTAAAACACCATAATCATCTTTTTTAATATCCCCTCTCCCTTTTTTACTTGATTATGGTTGAGCGAATATCCATAAGGGTAATTTAAAGAAAAATAATAAATATGAGAAATAAGTTTTATATTTAGGACCAAAACCAACAAAAGAATTAGATCATATATTAAGGACCGGAGGAGTATAAAATTAAAATCCTTAAGTAAGAGGTAGAAATAGGAAAGGCAGCATGTTAAGGGTCTGTGGCCTACCCGGGCCTATTTAAAAAAAGGAGTAAGCATAGGCCTTTTTAAAGGCCTAATCTTTTTAACAAGCCAGCCCTAAGCTATTTAACAAGTATGATAAGCTTGTTAGATGACTTGGGCCTGTTAATTTTTTTTTTCTATATTGGTTATAATTTTAATTAACTATGTCTTGTTTGCTTATTAATCTTAATTTTAATCTCTCCAAAATGTTATGTATAAATTGTTGAGCAAGTATAAGCTACATATAGTCTAGGAAATACTTACTATATACCCATTTAATTTTTGAAATTTTGAAAAGAGTTTCTGAATATATGGATTTGAGGTATATCCATAGTTTGAACCGTAATTAGGAAATATCATAAATCTGAAATTTACCAGTAAGTAGTAACCCGAAAATCAAATTTTAGATTATTAATCCACAAGCTTATTTTATGATTTGCTTAAATCGTAACACTTCCAGATATATACTAAAAAGGATAAATGAAAGGATGTTTCATTGGGTGCTCCTTTGTGTATACTTTCAGGGTATTTAAACACCTTATCTCATAAATATTTGAGACAAAATAAATCAATATTTTATGTTTAGTATTTTCAAATTTTCTCAATAATATATTAACTATTTTTATAATTTTAATATTTCTTTTAAAATTGTCACATTATATACATTATTATTTAACAAAATTTATATCTTTTTCAGTCATTTTACATGCAACTTACTTTTCTATTCTATATCCAAACAAGTTTCAATTTGTTAAACTGACTTTTCTACAAATACCAATCTAAACATAAATCATATTATTTAACTAACTTTTATCCTAACCCACACTTATAAAAGTTAGATGAAATAAAAATTATTTTGTCACCGTGAACCCAAACACATTATATGTTGCTATATCCCACGTTAGGCGGAGCATAGGCTGAAAATTTTAATCTGGGATGATAATGGACAACCAATTAATAATATTCAATGTTGTTTATAAGAAAGTTTTCTAGAACATTTATGTTTAGACTTAATTAGTTAATTTGTAAAGCATAACTCACCAGTTACACTCAATTTGATATTGCTCTATTTAAATAAAGAGTTAAGCTTGATCTAGCATCTTAAAAAAAAAAATTTTTTGGCACTCTCAAGTATTTTGTGGTGGATTCAGCACCCTGAAACATTTTTTGGCATTGGTTTTGAATACACCAACAAAAATTTTAGGATGCTAGATGTACATAAAAAAATATTTTATGATATTGAATGCCTAAAAAAAATTTCATGATACTAAACACACTTGAAAAAATACTTTATGATATTGGATATATTTGAGAAAATACTTCGGGTATTGAATACAACTCAACTCTTAAATAAACCCCAACAATCTTCTTTCTCTACGGTGAGCTATAAAATACATGATAATACTCCATTTATTTCAAGGAACCTCTTGGATGCCCGCATTGATTGTGGCACAATTGATCCATGACTATGGGTGTTTTTGCACAGCATTTGCAAAGGAAAAAGCCACGTACTCACTTTTTATGTGCTGATTGGTCCTCCCAAAAGAAATCATGATTCTAATTCAGTAATTCTATGTATAAGTTGTTTTTAACATATTTTATGAGATAAAAATAAAGGTCTTAAACGTGGGACCATGATAACAGCATGATGAAAATAAAGCAAGGCAACCAGTTTGCCAAAAAAACAAGTGGGAAGCAAGGGCACAAGATACTTTATTGGGAAAATTGTAAAAAAAAGTTATCCTTCACTTTCAAAATCTCAAAAATGTCACGCGAATTTAACAAATTTTCAGTTAGTCATAATGACTAAATTGGATTGTTGAACTATTAGCGAATTTATAATTTTGCTCTAATTTTTTTTTTTAAAAAAAAAACTCAAGCCACTCTTACTAGTTGGCTGTTCGTTAGTCACCGGAGCGGTCGATAAGGTGGACTTACGGTTTTTTTTTTAAAAAAAAAAAGAAAAGAAAAGAGTAACATTGTAAATCTGTCAACATTTCAAAATTTCAACCTAAAATCTTGCAAGTTCAGATTTTACAAATTTAAGAATAATTTTATTAGAATTTCTCACTTTATTTCATTAGATAGGAGATCCACGTACATAGAAACAAAGCCTGACGTAGGAGCCAGTGCCTAGGCTTTGTCGTTTGCATAGCATTAGTAAGCACAAGAGGAAAATTTATCATAACAGAAATTGGCGGTGTCAGCACAGCGACACTGTGGAGGATATGCACAAGAGGAACATTTATCGTAGCAGAAATTGGCGGTGTCGGCACAGCGACACTGTGAAGGATATGAGCAAGGGCAGTGACAGGCCTTACAAGCGGAGGGACAAGCTTCACCCGCGTCGCCGCAGTGGCATTGAGGAGAGCTTGACTCTGTGCAGAGGGACTTGTTGCAGCAGGCTGTGCCGAAGGTCTTGTTGCAGCAGGCTGCATCAGCGAAAGCCATCAGGAACAGACCCGCACCCACCTTCATCGTCATCGCCTTCTTGCTCAGACCCATCTTCTCTCTTAATCTTTGGGGGGTTTTGTGTGTTTGAGTTAAGATTTGTGTGAAGTGACGAGCAGACAGGGAGGCTTATTTATAACTCAATTTGAGGGATATCATAACTCATTTTAACCACTATTTTAATCTATGTTATTTGGGTAATTGTTGCTTATATAGATAAAAGGGGCAGCGTATAAAAATTAGGGTCCACATAAATATAGAGCCATCCGCGCAGACTTATGTCTTTGTTATGTTAGATGCCTTACGTACTGTAGATGTTTTCAAGGAGTGGTGTTGTATAAGGCTCTTTTACATTTACTGCTATTTGCAACACAATTTTAATACACCAGAACTTTATATATTATTACCTTTTAAAATTTAATAATTTTTTAATTTTATTTTTATTTAATATGTATCATACTTTTCAAAATGACAGCCGTTTACAAAGTAATAAATTAGACTTAGAATTTTGTATCCATATAATATTTCGTAAAATTTGAAGGATTGTAGTGGTTCTCAAATACATTTTAAATTTGAGAAATTGAGTGAATTAAGAATCTCAAGAGGTTACTGAGAACTGGATAAAGGTTATCGTGAAATTAAACCAAATCAGGATAAATCTTTGTGTGGACTTTCTCTATCCTCTCTCTTATATTAAGTGCATAGCTGTTTTCCCATCTCAAGTTTGCATCTTCATGATCGTTTGATTTAGTGCTTGGTCTAACTCGTTTCAAAATAGGTTGTGCGCTTCATTTAGATTTTTTTTGTGTCACCTAAATCACCCTCTCTTGGACGCCTGCCTTCCTGTCAATGCCCAAAGATGGCTACTAATGTATATTATTAGGTATTGCTTATGTAAAAATAATATAAATCAAACTACATTAATTGCTCAAATTATAGTAGTTCAAGTGCTGTTGTGCCATTTTTTAATTAATTCTTCTAACCGGAGTAAACTACGTAATTTTATAACACAAGTATCTTAATTTTTGAGCAAACCAAAATTATGTCATTTTTATTTTTAATAAATTGTCTTCTGTGAAAGACTGATGAAGCTAGAGTATCTAAATAAAACTTACTAAAAAATATTTTAAAAATATAATCTTAATTTTAACATATTTTATTGAAAATAGTGTTATAAAAATAAAAAATGTTGAATTCTAAGAAAACTTAAATTACCCTATAAACTTCTTTTACTGAAATATGAGGCCACGATGAGGAGCCATGTAAAAGAAAGCAAGATCAGACTATTCAATAGTGGTAATCAAAACATGATTTTTACGCATGAGTCATAGAAATTTTATAATGACATTAACGTGCTTTTATAATTAAGGATGTAATAGAAAAAATGTTAATAAATGTTAGCATTTCAATTTCATATATTAATAAATTAATTACGCACGTTGTCCACGTGGATGCCAAAGCAGGACACGTGGAAGGCCGAGATTTAGAGAACAAAAGAAGTTGGTGGAAGGTTCTAATTAACCAGTGAATTTTGGAAGCACGTGCAACGTTCTAATTTTCCAGCTCGCATTGATTGTTGCACATGTGACTCATCATGATATAAACCATTTTAACTAATCCGGCAACTCGCACTTTCCATTTTAAATTCCTCTAATCAATTGCTATCTCTAGTATTAAATATAAGAGCCAGTTGACTAATTTGAGTAAACTAAAAGAACTAGTTAAATTAGTTATTTGTAATAAATATGTGTTGTCTTTCCTAAAATATCTTTACTAATCAAGTGTGTTGACTAGAAATACTATTATTACAAAGACTGTTTTGGAAAAAAATAAATAAAAATGAGAGACAAAGTAGATTGAGATTTTATATTTAAAACCAAAATAAAAGTCAAACGATATATGATATTAAAGACCGGAGGTAGTATATTAGAATGGCAATTCCTGGGGCTCTTATAAGGTCAAGGATAGGTACTATTATCTCCCCTCTCTTGGTGGTAATAGAACCGGTGATTTCTAGAACTTTTTTGGAAGCTTTCTCCCCCGTTTAAACAACAACTATTTGTTTGGAAGCTCTTCCATGGTACACTAATCAATGTGATGTTTCAAATAATCACCACTTGAATACTTCTAGATCTTGTCCTTTTGGATGTGCAGCGGAAGAAACTGTGGATCATCCATTTATTTCTTGTCCACTCAACAAATCTCTCCGGTTTGGGTGCTTCTCAGTGAGAATCCCTCAATGATTTTTCAGAATTTAAGAGGTGGTTAAAAGATACCCTTATTTGTCTTCACAGAGTTGGTCACTCTTCCTTAGTATGTGGAATTATTTGCCTCCTCAACATTAAATGGAGGAAAAGAAATTTGGCTTTATATAATGGTAAATGTAATTCTCCATTGGTCCAATCAAAGATGTTTTCAATCTTCACTCCTTGCTGCCTTAGCTTTCACAGAGCCAATTCAAGAAAACAGAAGCAGTGTCTTATGAACCTTCTTCTCGATTCTCCTATTTCTCTTAATTACCACCATCCCTGCACGATACAGGAAGCACCGGCCACAGACAAAGCTATTCAAATTAGTACTCCCTCCAGTTTAAAGTATAAGATAAATTTTGTTAGAGGGGTTTTGTTTTTTTTTATAAGATAACATTAATTTTTGCCAAAACATAATGGGTTTTTTTTTAAAATTTTACTCATAACATATATTTTCTTTACTCTTTAATTCATTTATTATGTATTTTACTTATTCTCTTCATTAATAAGGATATATTTAAAAAAAATACATGCCTTATGTATTTATTATTTTAAACTGATTTTAATTAATTTCTTAATAAACATGAATAAATACAATTTATCACATATTTTTTGAATCATAGGCAGCACAAGTTTGTGGTGGGACCAAGACACCAAGGCTTCAAATGTCGCATCCCCAAAACAAAGGGATCACCTTCTAATCGAAATTTATTTCTTGGCCCACTTTGAAGAAATATGGAGCTCCGGCAAGAAAAAAGTATTGTCGGGTAGAGCCTGTTTCAATTGAATGTCAGGTCATTTCTTGGCCTTAGAAAAGCATGACAGTAAGTTGACTGATTTTTGAATTAAAAATAAGTTTTAGTTAGTTGATTATCAAGGAACTCAAGTCAACGAGATTAACATGGGCTTTGCGGGTTCGAAGAATCCTCTTATAAATTACTCCTCACTAATAATTTTTTTTTTTAATCGGATATCCCCAAGGGGACTACTCACTAATAAATCTGCGTATTACCCCTGTTTAAGGAATTGGACTATTTTAAATTAGAGGAACAAATATTAACAACATACTCTTTTGGTTCTTTTTATAAAACCCTAATAAACAAATTATGTGGTTTAAGAAATTAAATCGGTAAAAAATATATTTAATGTTTAGATAACTCTAAATTAAATCTTATAAAAAGAATGGAGCCAATTTAAAAATAAGGATCTCATAAAAATAAGAAAGTATGATTAAATTTATAACCTCTTGTTTATACAAACACTTTCATGTCACTAGGCATTTTTTAACAAAGGACAAAATAATTTATACTTATCGTGTTTTTAATATAAAAGATACTTAAATAATTTATGTAATTAATTTAAAAAAATTAAGGAAGCTAAACAAATGATTTAATTTTAACAAATGTGACATGGCCTCTCTAAAATGTTACTATGTATTATTAAATTATATACCAGCATATAAGTTAAATAAATTAATTTTAAAAATAATAAATATAAGAAATAAAATTAATTAAAGTTTTTCATGATAATCAAAATCAGTTTTCTAATTTAGAATTGGAGAATTATTTAAAAGAAGTTTGGTTCACGTACCTTTTTATAAGGTTTACTTTCATTTTGTCTAAATATCACTCTGGTACTTTTTAATTGTCACTTGTACGAAGAGGTTTTGGTTCTTTTTAATTATCATTTGTAGGAAGGAATTTTAATCTTTTTATTTGTCACTTGTACTTTTTTTAATGTTTTATTTTTAATTCTATCCGTATTAATTAAATTAAGAGAGAAAAATATAAAGGTGAAGAGAGATGTTAGCTATTTAATAAAGGTAAAAGTGAATGATTTGATGCATTTAATGATTTTATTGGCATGTGAGAAATTACTATAAGTGACAATTCAAACAGACCAGAGTGGGATTAAACAAATTTTTATCCATTTTATCATTAATTAATATACTCTATCTTGTCATCATTTTCCCATATATTCTCTCTTATCTTTTTTTTTTTCACTCTCACTCACTTACTTATAAATAATGAGGATATATTTGAAAGAAAAATATATTTTTTACGTATTTATTATTTTTAACTAATTTTAATAATTTTCTTAAACCACACAATTTAGTTATTTGAATATAATAATAAAGGATGTCAAAAGTTAATTGTAGCATTTGTATTCATGATAGGAGCAATTTGACTTATGGGTACAAGCTCCAATAAGTTATAGTAAAAATTTGATCCTTCTAAACTTTTGAAACATTGAGAGAGAAGAAATTCCAAAAAAAAAAAAAGGGTCTGACCTTTAAAAAATTTACTATAAGTCACATCTGACTTATATCCAAACTTATACTTTTTCTAGGTTAAAATAAATCTTTGAAGGAGCTTGATTTTCTTTATAAGCTATTGCAAACATATTCTTTTATTTTTTACCTCTTATTATGTCTCTCCCTTTTTCACTTATTCTCCCTCATCTCTTTTGCTGTTTATTCCCTCACCCACTTAATCTCTTTCTAAATTAGAGTCTTTTAGGAAAATAAGTCAATTTTTTTTTACATATTTATTGTCTTTAACTAATACTATTTCTAGTCTTAATTATAAAATCTTATTTATAGTTTACAAACGAGGCCTAATAATTAGGACTGGAGGTAGTATTAACCAATATTTTGAGTTGTGTTATTTAGTTATTTGATGCTCATATTCTAAAATGAAGTATTATGTAAATTTATAACTTTTATTTTTTTATTATTAATCCAAACAATTCTATTTTTACCAACTAACTTATTTATAAAAATCA